AAAAACAAGACTGGGAAATGACAAGTCATGTACCTTTGCAGAACAACTTAGCAGGAACCTATATAATAAATAGGACTTCCTACAGCAGCAACAACAGTCATTTTTAATTTAGACTTTATACGGACTCACAATGCAAGCACGAGCATAGCTAAGGATAATGAAAGAAAAATTAAAAAGCCAGTGTTAAGACACACACAATAATTCACATATATATTCACAAAGCAAAAAGACCCATGTGACTCCAAAGATTACAAGTAACCTGACTGAGCTTGTAATCAGTACCTCCATCATACCGCAGACTTACAATAGTGCATATCGTACCAGTCATGACCTCTACACATAAACTGAATAAGAGCAGTGACGCAGCAGAAAGAGCGGCATCCCTGCACTCAGTCAAACATCAGATGGGACTACTGTGTCCAGAGATCTTAACATCAACCTCATCAGGTCATTATAGGCAACTGTTAACCTCTTCAGACTGCTTGCTTGGATTCCGCCAAAGTTGGGCTGTGTAACAAAGAGAGACCAATATGATTGGAACAAAGAGGTTTTAACATTCACGAGCACATGTTATAACTTCCTAACCACATGTTGGATTGAACATAACATGTTACTTTGCCTCTTACAATACAATCACAATAACAATACAATAATCTTCTTGTATACCCTAGTCCCAACAGCAGTCATCTCATAGGACTAACAAAACCATTGAAATCACCAACACAGGTCAGAGCAATCATATTTAAACACATGAAAAGAAATATAAAGCACACACAGAAGAAAGTCCAAACATGTTGAAGAATGCTAAAATGTCCTGGATTCGATCACACATCCATTCTGTGGACATAACAGTTGACTAACTGTCCCAACAAGACACACCTGCATCGACAAGAAAAAACTCTTAAAAAACTAGGGAAACCCACAGGAGGGAGACCCATTTGAGAAAGGGATCCGCTCCTCCGTACGGACGGGCAATGATCTAGGACATAAGCATAAGCTTACCGTAGAGTCCCCATTTCGTTTTGTCGTCTTCCATTCACGCTTTTCGGGAATCACGCAGCTGCGTGACAAACAATTTACATCCTTATCTGCCACAAGGTGGTCAAGGTTTAAATTCGCTTTAGCTCGCCAGTCGACTTAGGGTACGCCAGGGATCAAACTGTGCAAACCCACGTCAGCCCCAGAGATCCTATGTTAGCCGAAGTTAACAATTAAGACTGGGACCATCATGGAATACCCTGGTTAGCATGAGCAATTTTGGTTGCAACATCTTTTGGTTCTTGTGTGCAATTACGTAACGTTATCTAGATTTTATCTTCTTTCCTTGTCCAAAGGAAATGTGTAAATTGGCTAGTGTGTTCAAGAAGCCGTGCATGTGAATGTATATGATGTTGCTTTTGAATGCTTAATCCAAGTAAGAGCATAACCGACAACATATACATATTTTGTACTAATTAATCCTTTAATAATTAAATTGCATAAACTAATATATTGATGCATCTGGAAAACCCGTCGGATGTATCACACGCTGGCACGTTCCGAGTAAACAGTAAAAATAAGGTCAATGTCCATGTTTTTGGCAAAATTGTTTTTTTCATTAAACAATTATAATATAACATCTTGTTCTTTAATGTTGAAAAAAAATCTAGGTGAAATTCCTATGTTATCTTAAATAATGTGATATGTATTTGAAAAACCAACGTCCGTGACAGCATCCTCCGCTCAGCCCGGAGCACTGCTGTGACCCCACGCTCTGACGCTCCGTGAACGCACTGCCGACTGGGCTCCAGCGCGACCCTAGACAACCGAACAGAACCACCGACAGGACATGAGACACCCGAAACAAGAACCACAGACAGACATTTACATTTACATTTACATATCACGCAGAACAAACCCCAGACAGGCGCAGACAACGCGTATGCATAGACACTTACAGAACCAAAGACACACGAAGCAAAGACACTGTGCAGAAACCCGAAAGAACACGAATTATCAAAATAATTCATTGGAACACACTAGTGTTATTCATTTTGAATACAGTACAATACAGTCATTAGATTTTGTTTATTATTTGCATTTTGTTTATTATTGGCATACATACATATTATTTCAACCCAACAGACCAGAAATAAGAGGTCGAGTTAGCCACAGGACACGTCATGTGACAGTTGAGTGACAGCTGAACTCGACAGAAAAGGTGTTGTTATCACACAGCAGCAGTGTGGTTTCACAGGAGCAGCTGCTTAAACAAACTTTACATGAAACTTTGACTCTTAAAACCCACATATAACAACATGGAAAATCTTCTACTATGAAGGAGAGTCCTTGTGCACTCAGAAAACTACAAGGGTCTGGCACAAGACAGGCTAGTGAAGATGGCCCCTTGATTTGAATAATCCGCCATCTTGGATCACCAAGCCCACCCGCCCACTGACTGCTGAAGAACCAATCCGCTCTTACGACACAACCACTCAGAGACTCCTCAATGGCTGCTTGAAAGTTGACATTTAAAATAAAATGGTTTACTGTCATTTAAAACATCAGTTTACAGTTTAAGTTAGGTATCCCTGACTTAGGTTCCCTGGACACAGTGCAGCAGGTGGGGGACAGGAGGGCCCTGAGCAAACTAACATCTATGCTGGACCATGACTGTCACCCCCTGCAGGACACTCTCTCTGCTCTGGAGAGCAGCTTCAGTGACAGACTAATTCACCCTCGCTGTGTGAAGGAGAGGTTCCGTGGGTCTTTCCTTCCTGCTGCTGTCAGACTGTACAATAAGAACTGCTGAGCCTGTACATTTCATTCATCTGTAATTAAGTAAATTCTTAAATCATGTGCAATACTGCAACTTCAGGATGTCACAGAACAATGTCACTTTACTTATATACTTTTTATCCTGCACTATTTAACTGTACAGTATATAACTGCACTACTACATATATATTTTTTGACTGGTATTGAAGCTTTTTCAGCATCTACAGCTAGTTATGTTAGTTAAGAAACATAGCTACTACTTATTTGTATATAGTGTATATATTGTGTGTGATCCCTGTGTGCTCTTACTACTGTCCTATATGTGCGATGCAACATCGAAATTTCCCCACTGTGGGACGAATAAAATAATTCTTCTTCTTCTTCTATCCCACAATGCATTGCTCATGCCAGTAGCTAACTGTTCAATACAAAAACAGTATTTCGTGAAAAGTGGCTGTAAATGAACAATTGTTTCAGTGTGTACAGTTGTTACAGCCTATAGTCATATATGTGTGGTCCAGTGCCATTGAGAAATGCAGAGTCCTGGGCCTGGTGGGGTCTGGGACCCCTCTCTCCTCTGGGTCCTGTGTCCTTCCCTGTGGCTGCAGCCGGCTCTCTGCTCCTGGTGCAGATGGCTCCTTGGATGGCGCTTCTTCAGCCGGTTACATCTGCTCCCAGCCCCATTTCTTTTTATTGTTTTACCTACTTTACCTGGTATGTGTGTGTGTGTGTGTGTGTGTATACTAGAGCCCTGCACTTGAGCCCTTGGCCCGAGGGCCCCGACGGCCCGACAGCCCGAGGGCCGGGCTTCGGGCCGATGACCGCATAATGACCTCGGACACGGGCCGGGCTCGGGCTCTTCATTTTCAGAGCGGCAGAATAGATTTACGAGCGCACCCACTGAATATAGCGTTCTATCACGCTGTAGTGTTTGTTGTTCTGTGTAGTGTTGTCATTGACGGCACATAGCGTTACTTACAGGTGTGTTGCAGCATCTGGGCATCATACAGATGCGGCCGTTCACTCTGCACCACTCCGCACACACAGAACTCATTGCAACACATCACTACCATGTATAACTCCGCCCTCTAGCTAAGTCTGCGTTCATATCAGTGCGCGGCACTATATACTACGCTAAAACATTGTTATGGGAGGTTACAAAAAAAAAAAAAAGGCGGGCTTGATGCGGGTTTCGGGCTTGAAAATTCAGAAACCATATCGGGCCGGGCCGGGCTGGGGCGCCACCCCCTCGGGCCAGGGCCGGGCTCGGGCCCAGATAATAGGCCCGTGCAGGGCTCTAGTGTATACGCATGTGGTTGTATATATAATTATAAATGTGGTTTTGGGGGGGTCTGTGAGGAGGAGTGTTTAGAGCTGGGCATATTGGATTGTTTTTAACTAAACTGTAAAGCACTTTGTGTTACACTTTTTGTATGAAAAGCGCTTTATAAATAAAATTTGATTGATTGATTGATTGAGCTGTAAAACCAAGATTAAAATCAACTTGTATTTATTAGAACAATGATTTCCATCCATCCATCCATTTTCTACCCTTTAATCCATTTCTGGGTCAGGGGGGTGGCAGTCAGAGATGCCACCCAAGTCTCATAGCACCAGCCCCTCACTGACCCTCTGCAGGTGGTGAGTCCACAAGAGCTGAGATCTTCCAGTGGGGGCTTTGGGCAAAGTGGGGTTAAGTGTCTTGCCCAAGGACACAACGACAGCAGTCATCAGTGGGAGTCGGTGGAGAAGGTGCAGAGGTGGGAATTGAACCCACGACCTTCTGGCCTTAAGGCCAATGCTCTACCAACTGAGGTACTGTCGCCCCAGAACAATGATTTCACAATTTTAAATACGTATAAATATTAGAGCATAATAAATAAATAAATAAATAAATACTTATTTAATAATAACATAATTCATATTGGTCTCAAGGTTGTCTCTGGAACTTCATTCAACAACTGCAGTTTTTCAAATGGCAAATGAACTCTTGAATCATGAAGTAAAGCTAAAAAATATCTCAACATGACCTTGTTTGAGGGTGAACATAACAAATACATTTGACTCATACCAATAAAAATAGCATAATACATATTATGTACTTCAGTTACAACAGAAGAATCAGGAGGAGTCCCAGGAGAGAATGGAGAAAAGTCATTCTCACATCAGACACAGCAGAGGAGGCTGCAGTAGTAATAGTTGCTGGTGCTGTAGTTGTTGCTGGTGGTGAAGTAGTAGTAGTACTAAGTGGTGCAGTAGTTGTAGTCGTTGCTGGTGCTGTAGTTGTAGTTGTTGCCGGTGCTGTAGTTGTAGTTGTTGCTGGTGCTGTAGTTGTAGTCGTTGCTGGTGCAGTAGTTGTAGTCGTTGCTGGTGCTGTAGTTGTAGTCGTTGCTGGTGCAGTAGTTGTAGTCGTTGCTGGTGCTGTAGTTGTAGTTGTTGCTGGTGCTGTAGTTGTAGTCGTTGCTGGTGCAGTAGTTGTAGTAGTTGCTGGTGCGGTAGTTGTAGTCGTTGCTGGTGCGGTAGTTGTAGTTGTTGCTGGTGCGGTAGTTGTAGTAGTTGCTGGTGCTGTCGTTGTAGTCGTTGCTGGTGCTGTAGTTGTAGTCGTTGCTGGTACTGTAGTTGTAGTTGTTGCTGGTGCTGTAGTTGTATTTGTTGCTGGTACTGTAGTTGTTGCTGGTGCAGTAGTTGTAGTTGTTGCTGGTACTGTAGTTGTTGCTGGTACTGTAGTTGTAGTTGTTGCTGGTACTGTAGTTGTAGCTGTAGTTGTTGCTGGTATTGTAGTTGTAGTTGTTGCTGGTGCTGTAGTTGTAGTTGTTGCTGGTGCTGTAGTTGTTGCTGGTACTGTAGTTGTTGCTGGTGCTGTAGTTGTTGCTGGTACTGTAGTTGTAGTTGTTGCTGGTGCTGTAGTTGTAGTCGTTGCTGGTGCAGTAGTTGTAGTTGTTGCTGGTGCTGTAGTTGTTGCTGGTACTGTAGTTGTAGTTGTTGCTAGGGATGTAAATCGGCGACCGGTTAACCGGTGGTTGACCGTCACAGCGTTAACCGGTCAAAGCTGTCGGTTAAAAAAGAGAAAAAGGGGAGAGGGGAGGTCTCTTAATAACGCTATTTCAAGCCCTATTTGCACGGTGTGACGAGCGGGTCTGTATCTAGCTGTGTGCGCCAATGTATTATAAACTCCGGGACGACTCTCACGCCGCACGAGCCACATATGCACACGCACGCGCGCGCGCGCACACACACACACACACACACACACTTTCCCCCTCTCCACACGTAACATCCACACGCATCATCTCTCCCCTCTGTTACCGTCAAAGCTGCACAGTGGCGCGGGTCAGAACTACATTGGAGCTTACATTTACACACACACACATACATACACACACACATACCGGTCTGTCGCGCTCCTCTGTGTCACGGAGCCCAAAGGATTCGCACAAACACACGGCTCCAGTCAAACCACATGGAACATGTTTGTGTTTATGGTCCTTGGGATCAGCTCCACACACATCACTTGTATTTAAACTTTTGTGAAGACTTGTGAGACGCGGCTCGTCACTCGCTGCTCTGACCATGTGAACGAGCCGTCGTTTGCTGCTAGAAAGTTTTGGTATTAACCCGCAGCACAGCAGAATGGGAAGATTAAAACAGCAGTTCTCTGTGCGCAAAGGTGCCGGAGTTGTTGCGGGTTTGGGCGCCGCTGTCTCGGCTCTGATCCAGTAGAACGCAGAGCTGCACTTATGAGAAGTACGGCTCGAAATGGCTGTTATTTCAAAGAACGTGGACTATTTTAAACTACGCGGTTAACCGGTTTCAACCGGTTAATGAGGCTCGGTGGTCGGTCATGAAAATTCATAGTTTTTTACATCCCTAGTTGTTGCTGGTGCTGTAGTTGTAGTCGTTGCTGGTGCAGTAGTTGTAGTTGTTGCTGGTGCTTTAGTTGTTGCTGGCGCTGTAGTTGTAGTTGTTGCTGGTGCTGTAGTTGTAGTCGTTGCTGGTGCAGTGGTTGTAGTCGTTGCTGGTGCTGTAGTTGTTGCTGGTGCAGTAGTTGTAGTCGTTGCTGGTGCTGTAGTTGTAGTTGTTGCTGGTGCAGTAGTTGTAGTCGTTGCTGGTGCAGTGGTTGTAGTCGTTGCTGGTGCTGTAGTTGTAGTTGTTGCTGGTGCTGTAGTTGTAGTCGTTGCTGGTGCAGTGGTTGTAGTCGTTGCTGGTGCTGTAGTTGTAGTTGTTGCTGGTGCAGTGGTTGTAGTTGTTGCTGGTGCTGTAGTTGTAGTAGTTGCTGGTGCAGTGGTTGTAGTTGTTGCTGGTGATGTGGTTGTAGTAGTTGCTGGTGCAGTGGTTGTAGTTGTTGCTGGTGCTGTAGTTGTAGTAGTTGCGGGTGCAGTGGTTGTAGTTGTTGCTGGTGCTGTGGTTGTAGTTGTTGCTGGTGCAGTAGTTGTAGTCGTTGCTGGTGCTGTAGTTGTAGTTGTTGCTGGTGCAGTAGTTGTAGTTGTTGCTGGTGCTGTAGTTGCAGTCGTTGCTGGTACTGTAGTTGTAGTTGTTGCTGGTGCTGTAGTTGTAGTTGTTGCTGGTGCTGTAGTTGTAGTTGTTGCTGGTGCTGTAGTTGTAGTTGTTGCTGGTGCAGTGGTTGTAGTTGTTGCTGGTGCTGTAGTTGTAGTAGTTGCTGGTGCAGTGGTTGTAGTTGTTGCTGGTGCTGTAGTTGTAGTAGTTGCTGGTGCAGTGGTTGTAGTTGTTGCTGGTGCTGTGGTTGTAGTTGTTGCTGGTGCTGTAGTTGTAGTCGTTGCTGGTGCAGTGGTTGTAGTCGTTGCTGGTGCTGTAGTTGTAGTCGTTGCTGGTGCTGTAGTTGTAGTTGTTGCTGGTGCTGTAGTTGCAGTCGTTGCTGGTACTGTAGTTGTAGTTGTTGCTGGTGCTGTAGTTGTAGTTGTTGCTGGTGCTGTAGTTATAGTTGTTGCTGGTGCTGTAGTTGTAGTCGTTGCTGGTGCTGTAGTGGTAGTTGTTGCTGGTGCTGTAGTTGCAATCGTTGCTATGAGAGAAAAAACCAGATGTAAGTCATTAATGGTCTTACATTCACCATGCACAGAACACCTCCCCAGGGAGGCGTCCAGGTGGCATCCGGAACAGATGCCCTGAGCCACCTCAACTGGTTCCTCTGGACGTGGAGAAGCAGCGGATCTACTCCGAGCTCCTCCCGTGTAACTGAGCTCCTCACCCTATCTCTTAGGCTGCGGTCACATGCACAGCCTAAAGCCCAGTTAAAGTGGGCCTGGGTGTGGTGGGGGCTTGATATTCTGCGTCACATTACGTCTTCCGTTGTGACGGACATTTTCACACACGTCTTTCCTGCACTTTCGTATTCTCCGCTTGTGTTAAACCTTTCATATAAGCCCCGGACCGTGGTCGAGGGGCGCAAAGAAAAGCGTTTCCTACGAGAATAACTCCCTCTCTCCTGACCCTCGCTCTCAGTGTATTGCTATTGCAATAAGACTTCAGACATTCAAGAATCACTCTTTATTTAATCAGCAGAACACACAACACACACTTGTGTCCAGCATGGCACCGGTCGCTCTGCTCGTACGCCACACTTTTCATTCCTTTCTCAGCTCTTACCCTTGTTACTAAAGACGTGCACTCCCTTGTACGCGGCACACACACACACACACACTGACTGAACTGCTGCGCTTTGAATCAGAACAAGTGTGAGATGTGTCTTTCCCCAAACAACGCGATCCGTGCTCGTGCTGTTCGCGCTACAATAGCAGAATGTAACTCTTGACAACGAGGTCGTTGGTATTAGCGCCACCAGCTTAACCGAGCATTGTACTACTGCACATTTGGTCTGGCATGCTTGAGAGGATAAACCCTTGTGACTGTGGGGGCCGTCTTCACACCCCTGTGGCGACGATCCGGGCCACTTTGTGAAAACCTATGTGACCGTGCCCTAAGGGAGCGCCCAGTCACTCGTTCTTTTGGTCATTACCCAAAGCTAAAGACCATCGGTGAGAGAGGGAACAAAGAATGACCAGTAAATGGAGAGCTTTTCCTTTCGGCTCAGCTTCCTCTTTACCACAACAGTCCGATAAAACAGCCGACTTACTGCCGGCGACGCAAGCTGTGACTCCGGTCATACGGGGACCGGACGGCCCTCAGCAGAGGACCCGGCACTCCCGGAGAACCTCTCAAAAGGACACCCCCCCAGGGAACACGGTCGAACGCCTTCTCCAAGTCCACAAAGCACATGTGGACAGGTGGGGCGGACTAATGGATCATTTCTTTGTAGTTTCATGACCAATCCAAATGAATTAGAATAATAGAATTTTAACATAAGTGCTGGACTCCACCGGCCGCGTCTCTGTTCGGCTCGCTGTGGCTATGATCTATGCAAAGCACGGCACTATTGCACTACTACATCGAGGAAGTTGCGATGGATGAGGCAAAACTTATTGAAAGCAAATGGTAAAAAGGGGTGTAGAGAGAAAACAACTCCAACATATCAAGGCTTTTTTGAAAGCGAGTCAATATTGACATTACGCGACAAATAAACGGCAGATTTACTATCAGGAAACAATTATTTCAATTTAAATTGAAATAATAATGCAGTGGAGCCACTTCCATTCACCCTCATGGAGAAAACGGAAACAGAGATGAAACGGACACGTTTGGACGGATACGTAGTAGGTTTTAAGCAGCCGGTGGAGTCGGGGCCTAAGTGTGAACTGAATAGAACTGAAGAGAACTCAAGAGTACCAACCTAAACATTACTAACCTAAGCATTACTAACCTAAGCATTACTAACCTAAACATTACCAACGTATACAAAATAAATGCTATTTTCCCTTTGAGTTGAAGCAGATATTGAAAGACAAAGAATGGAGCTCCTGAAAAAAGCTGGATCAGTTCCGTGCACTATAAGATCATTAGTATATCACATGTTTAAAAAGCACAGCCCCTGTGGCTGGAGGTCTAAATGCCATGTTTTGCAGGAGCACATGAGGACTATAGTGCGGCTGATATTCACCTGTGTTGATGGACAGAGCCACAGCTAAGGCCAGGGACAGCAGCAGCTTGAGTGCAGTCTTCATGTCTGCAGATGTCTTCAGGCGTCTGTCTTTCTCCTGTCTAATGCACCTGTACCTGTGACTGTTCTGATGGATGCTGCTCCTTCTGACTCCTTTTAAACTGGATGTGCTTTGGGAGGGCCCGTTGCTCTGACGATCATTCTGGTTTGGAGAACTCACCACGCCTTTTCACGTCACACAACAATAAACCTGTTTATTCTTATAACTCACTGGAACTGGTTTGACCATGACTGATATTCTATCTTAATATGTGCGTGTAAGGAATAAAGAGCAAAAATAGTGTGAAAGCACTGTTCTAAACTATACTGACCTAGGCCTGGAACAAGCAGTGCCCTTTTCCCTTGATCTCTCTCTCAGCAGAAGTAAGGCTGGAGGCATATGTTCAGAAGCACTGTGTCCCTCATTGTCAGTCCTGTTTTAATCCCGGTTTAGGTCTGGTTTAGGTCTGTTTTAGCTCCTGTATTGGCTATTTTTGTGTGTTTCGTCTTCTTGTTCTGACCGCCATTTGTCCCCGTGACCCTTTTGCAGCTCTCTGATTGGTTGCTGCACGTGTGGCCAGCGGAAAAAGTGTTTTCTTTTTTATACGCTCAGGGTTATTACAAACATTTATTGGTCCAAATGTAAATTCAAATTTTAATAATAATACAACTATGAAATTTTAATATTTTTTTTTAGCTTAAGCCCCAGCCCTAGTTCAGAGTCACAGGGAGCTGCTCTAACTTAACACAGGTTTTGGGTTCTATTGTCTCTGTCAAATAAACATAAGATCCTAAATGCACTAATTTAGTGACTCAGAGGCGGATCAGCTGGAAGGAATGGCAGCAGCATTGTTATTGATTTGTTTGTGTTGTTTTTTGGGTGTGAACTCTGCACAGACCGTACGTGAGAGCTAAAGATAGACAAAGATGACGTTCAAAAGTATTTGGCCAAATGTATTTTGGGACACATTATGCAACATGTAATCATCAATTAGACAAAAACACCAGATTATAAACCTTTTTTATTTTTAGATTCATACACTATCGATTTAAAATCAGATTATAGTTTAAATATGAATCCTGGTGATCCAAGATGGCGTCCTGTTCAAATCAACGGCTTGTGCTCAGAAGTGCATGGGATCACCGTGGGCACCAAAAGATTAGCGGAACTCGCCCATATTTGGGCATCCTCTGGTCCACCATGTTTTGAGCAGTGGACGAGCTCCCATGATGCTTTGCACCAAATTCACCTGTGTGGCTCTCAAGCACAGAGGGGCTCTAACCAATCAGTGTCAGCTGATCAGAGCGGAGCTAGAGCAACAATGTTCAACTCTAGAGCTGTGTTCACACGGCCGACAGCAGACAGCGTGTGGTGCTGGTTCAGAGTCACAGGGAGCTGCTCTAACTTAACACAGGTTTGTTTTCTATCATCATCATATAAATAAAAGATCCCAAATGCACTGCTTCCGTGACTCACAGGCGGATCAGCTGGAAGGAATGGCAGCAGCATTGTTATTGATTTGTTTGTGTTGTTTTTTTGGGTGTGAACTCTGCACAGACCGTACGTGAGAGCTAAAGATAGACAAAGATAACATTCAAAAGCATTTGGCCAAATGTATTTTGGGACAAAGTATTTATATATTTAATTAGAGAATAAGTCCCTTGAGATGAATCATCTCGTTTTCGAGGGGGTTCTCAAGATTTCACAAATGTGACCGATACAGCAAAACAGATTTAAACAAAACAAAAAAACCATAAAATATATACACACACATAAACCCTCAATCACACACACGCACACACACACACACACACGCACACACGCCGTGACTGTACTGTAATGACAATAAATAAGGATAATACTATTAATATTAATATTACTAATAATAATTGGGAGACAGTAAAGACAAGTTTAGTTCTCATAACCTAAGACCAAACATTTTTCTTTTGCTCCGGTTTGTATTCAGACTGTACTTTTTGCAAGTGAACTTTTTTTAATAAACATTTGGACGCGTGTGACGATTGGACAGCGAGAGCTCACGGACATTAGATGTGGAACCGGAGGAAAACATTGAGCTCGTATGTGCTGCTTGTCTGCTCTGCCTCTATTTGCTCTTTTTAGAGCAAAACCACCTTCAACATCAACAGCAGCTCATTCTAAAAGGCGAAACGCGTTATTTCACATTTTGGAACTGTGTCAGCGAATGCGTGCTGTAAAAAGCCCTGTCCATGGATCTATAAAAACTCTTTTCCACAACTTACTGACAGCAGCATTGTGGATAAACCATGGATCTATGATAACAACGGGATAAACAGACGACGCAGGATCAGGTATGAACCAAAGAACACAATTCACTACATGATACGGGATATTGCTCTTTGAGACGTGAGTCAAACACGTGAGGCTTAATGCAAATGATTTGAAGGTGCTGCCATTTACATCACTGTATACTGTGAACTGTTTTAACTCCATAAGCCTGTTGCACAGCGTCTCCTCGTTGCTCCAGGTCGGCCCACGGCTCATTGTTGTTGTGTAGCGTTAGCAGCTCTGACGCGTGGCTAATTCCTCACACTTTCTGTCAATCGTGGCTTGTTAAGCCCAAAAAATGAGCACGTATCTTGGAGTTGTGTTGGATCGACACCAGTTGTATTCAGACCTGAATACAACTCGGACCAGAATTCGTTTGGAACTCTGTTCAGTTCTTTGGTCCGGACCAGGATTCGTTTGTGTGCATTTGTAGCCGGTCTCTCCGCGTTGTGTATTGTGTAAGTAGATGCGTCAAGAATCAAACCAGACACAGAGGTTCGTCATTCGAGGGATTTACTGTGTGAAACACAAAAAATCAAAATGCTGTATAGCACACGGCAGTCCCTGACACAGATCTCCCCTCTGCTTTCTTCCCAGCAACTCGGGCTACTAATTTGCATATAATAATGATATTCTTAAAGTGTAATCATATAGTTTTTTTTTAACCAGTAAACTCCCAATCATGACATTTTTATGAAACAAAAACTAAATCATGTACAAAAGACACTTGTGAAAGAAAATACAAAACATACCTGTGTGAAACACAAAAAATCAAAATGCTGTATAGCACACGGCAGTCCCTGACACAGATCTGCAAACAGAAAAAGTGCCACAGACAACAGTGAGACCATGCTCGCTAGCTTAAATACACTGGCTTTTTCAAAGTGCTATAACTCGATAAAAAAAACACTTTCACACATTTACATTAAACATAAACATTGGCAAGTGCCTTATAAATCATGAACAACAAAAAGAATTGACCTAAATCAACTTTATATGAAATATTTTATAACTTGAATCAAGAGAGATTTTACTGCTTACCTCCCCTCTGCTTTCTTCCCAGCAACTGAAGGGGAAGCCCGCGAACCCACAGGAAGTGGCGACACCGCCAAAATAAAAGCCTCGATTTAAAAATATACAGAAATAAAACTTAAATAAAATACCAGTAAATACTAACAAAAAAAATATGATTTTGGTGAAATTGACAAGACTCAGACCACATGGGCTACATCCACCCCTCCCAGATTTTGCCAAAATCCACACAAGAACCAAGCAAGGACTCAAGAAAAGCTCTAAGCTTCACATTCAGCTGAAAAGCTACCTATGAAATAGGTTCAGAATAAACATAAGGGTGATCAGACCTTAGTCACTCTTAGATTGATATGATGCCGTGTACACCATACAAACACCTTGCTTATAAAACACTTGAAATGACTGGCAAAAAGGTTTACAAAGCGTGATTCCTTCAAAAACAAAACATACACTTCTGTCCTTTCTCTTTCTAGAACAAAGTCAAAAGTGACTGAGACCTCTTACTGAATGAAATAGCAAGTCCCTTCAAACTTAAAGGTGTCTGTACCATAGTTTCAATGAGACGATTGACCCGTTTACTGACTCTACCTGCCCTTGTAACCACTGCCCCTTCCCCATTAGCATCTGGGTTTGTCTGAATGGGCAAGTCAGGGGTGCCTTGGTCAAAATCTGGACCTGTTTCTACGTCACAATCAGAAGGTAACTGAATCTCAGATGTGTAAGAGTCATTTCCTACAGCCAGGCTAACTACATCACTCTGGACTTCAGTGTGATTCAGTTCATGTCGGGAACCTGTCTCTGGTGAACTCCGACCTGACTGCTCTGACTGGGACACACTTTCACTCTGGTCTAGTTGATCAAGAGAATGTTCTGAAGTATCCAAAACCCATGTGTTTGTCAAATCCATACTATTCTCCACATCCAATGAATCCAGTGTGCACGTTTCATCCACATCACTTGCATCCACCACTGGTAGGAAACTGATATCCAAAAGCAAGTTTCTGTATACAATTTTTGTAGCACCACTGGGATCCTCCAGCTTGTATGTGTGGTTCTGTAAATTCCTGTCCTTTATTGTGTACACCTTGGAACTCCATTTGTCTGCCAATTTTTTCTTTCCTCTTTCACCCTTGTTTGCAATGAGAACGCAATCTCCAATATTCAGTTGGGTTCCTTTGATCTTTCTGTTATATCCTTTTGCTTGTTTGTCCTGTTCCTTGATACTGTGCTTTTGAGCGATCCTTGCTGCTTCATGCAAATGTGACATGAGTGTTTTAACATAACTTTTGTGATCAACCACAACTGGATCATTGAGCACTTGCTTGAACATACAGTAGGTCCCATTTCGTTTTGAGGGTCTGCTGGGAACGTCTCACTGAGCCCCCTGTCAGACGGACTTTCAACTCACACCTCCGGGAGAGTTTCTCCCAGGTCCCGGCGGAGGAGGGGGACATGGAGTCCGAGTGGACCATGTTCTCTGCCTCAATCGCCGATGCGGCGGCTCGTAGCTGTGGTCACAAGGTCTCTGGTGCTGGTCCCGGCGGCAACCCCCGAACCCGGTGGTGGACACCGGCAGTAAGGGATGCTGTCAGGCTGAAGAAGGAGTCCTATCGAGCCATGATGGTTCGGGGGACTCCTGAGGCAGCTGTCCAGTACCGGCAGGCCAAGCGTGCCGCGGCCCGGGC